GAATATATTGTTACAAATGACATTTTTTGCGCATTCTGGGTATTTCATCATTTTATTGCACTGTGTAAACGTCGAAAATATGGAACTCGCTCATCTGATTCTACAGAATGCTGAAACAGTTATATCTTCTTTTCCGAAAAGAACGTAAAGAAGAATCAAATTTGCTCGAGTGATTCAATTTTGCTCGTCTATCTTACATTAGATCAAGTTGCGGCATAATTATTCAACAGCTCAAAGATGGACTCACAACGTTCAACACCTTTGGCTCGTCATTCATCCACCGTTCCATATATAAAGCGTTATGAAGATTTGTCGTTGTTTCCCAAGCACCGTGAAAATCGTAACTCATCAAAAGCACAAAATCAACGTATCTAAGACGTAATGCAATTATTGAACAGCACAAAACATTTTGAAAATGAAATGACTTTTTTTCACTCATTCACTTTTTCATCTATCATCGCATTGTTTCTCTCTTTGATCGTTTCCATTTATCGTTTCAAGCACTGTGCAAATTACAGTTCCAGAAAAGATTTGCAGACGGATTTTCTGTACTATGTTCAAGTTTCGGTCACAATTTTGATGTCTGGCAAATATTTTTGGGTAACGTACTTGGCCAATTCAGGAATATTATAGCCTGTTTTGATAGTTTTCCGACTTGCTGATACTGCCACTGTCAGAAGTAGACGGTCTTTCCGAGTCGTATCCAAGCATTCCATGGAGATCGCCCTACGCAGTTCCTGTCGTAATCAAACAAGCACAGTATTTTTCGACACATTATATAATGCAAGTCGGCGAACACAACGATTCAGCCACTGTTCAATGCAAAAGAAATAATATTACAAATGGCTACATTGGGCATCGAACCTTCATGAGAAGTGTGAAGCTGTTGATATCTTCCGTTCCATTCGGATATTCCCAGTCTATATCGATACCATCAAAATTGTGGAAACGCACGAAATCAATTGCTGAACTTATGAATTTGGAGCGATTGGTTTCGTTGGATGATGTTTGCTGAAATTTGAGCATCACAATGATCAGTAACCGATGATTGTCGACTAAATTGCTTACTTGAAAGGTGCGCCAAAAAAAACATAAACTGAAGCAAACTTTTCGGTCGATTTTCAGCTCCAGTCTCATAGTCAGGCTTAAGGTAGAGCCTTATGTTGACTCAAAACATGCGGTCAATAGCAAAACAACTTCTCATAGTTGTCAAGCGATCGGGGAACGAGTTTTTCGTGTTACCTAATGATCCTTTAATCGCATCAATTCACTGACTATCTTGAGCACTTTGCACTGATGTCCAAGGCATCAAAATGCAGCAAAATTCCCTTCCTTGAATGGCTTGCTACATTTTCAGTCCAAGGTATTCGAATATGGCAGTTATCACAAAGTGGGTGGCAATTATGCACTGACAATCGTAAATTCTTGTCAAGTACACCGTATGAAATGAGCACCTGGAAGATCTTCGTTCCAAAACTCCATCCTCCAATTGAAATGAGCGTCTTCAACTGGGGATCAATTTTTTTCAGCCTATTCACTCGCTCATACATACCGATTTTTGACCACTCATTTGACACATCGTTCTCATCGAATGGACTGAAAACCCAAGCGTTCTATGATTCAGTTTTGATGTGATTCATTGTTTATACGCTCGTCTATGATGAAGGAATGAGCTGTTGACGAACGACGGTAAACGATGAGTCACATGAATGTCAACCAAAATAGAGCTTATTNCTCAGCGCTAGTTGAGATAGCTTCAATAAAATAGCTATATCTCCTCAACTAAGCAAAATCGTCCGACAAAATATTAATACGTTCAAGAGCTAGTTTGGTCGACCTACAGAAGATTGTCTTCATCAACAAAGAGTGTCCTGTCAAAAGTATTCAGTGTTTGCATTTTTCCGTTTTTGTCAACAGAGTGAAATGTGATTACGCACTTGCTGCTTGCAAAATAATGAGCAATGAAATGGACCAATGGCGACTAACTGACACGATCGTGAAGTTGCTTTCGTCAATAGATGCGAACGCATAGAGAATATGAGTGCACAGTCCGGGAACATAATCTTCAGGTGTGTATTTAGCGCCACCTTAAAAAACAGTGTAATGATTCTTTTCACGAAAGAGAAGGAGAATTTTTATGTGGCATTCATCCACTCTTTTCAGTGTTTATTTTGTATTAACACTGTATTATGTATCGAAACACAAAGCATTCATAAGATACAAACACGAAGAGGCAGAGGATCCTCCAAATGAGATATACGAAAGTTAAGTTTCAACATCCGAATCGATAGTGCATGACATCCGTGTACATCTTATACATGTTCAGCTAAGTAAAGATTTAAAGGTTGATTTCACGTATCACTTTGGTGTCCCTCACGAATCGTCTTTTTCGCGCTCCGTCGCCACAACTCTTAGAATATGAACAATGAATGCAGCAGTGATCAACAGTCATTCATACTGTTGATCACTTGCAACAAATCGAATCCGTTAGCATTATGCAGCTTTGATGAGCAGAACGAACTTAACATTTTTTAAGCAACTCAAAATGTTCTCGTTCCAAAATTGTGTCAGTTAGGTGACTGTGTCAGTGCAGAGGAAAGCAAAGAAAATACAACACCTTGCCTGTATTGTGACCAACTGGTGAAGTAGCACGGACGAATGTAATCGAATGTTGAGTCTTCAGCTGCTGTGTTTAGCGGCGGGCGATGACGGTTGGGTGTCAGCCTTGAAGTTGCTTCAGCTGCAACGATATGTTGAGTGTGCAATTATTGCGAATTCATGAGCTAAGTGACACCAAAATTTCCGAATGAGTAGTGATAAACTGGTGATCACTGAGCAATGAGTGAACAACCACAAACATACTTTTGTCGCAGGCAATAGGCCAGCAGCTTTGACCAAAATCGAGAGCAATGAATATGAGCAACAACTCAAGTATTTTCGCTTATAACATGCGCATCGTTTGAACAACACTTCTTTAAAAATTGGCCGTTGCGAGTGATAGTGAATTGGTGAGCATGCGAGCAAAATGTGCATAAAAGCACTTTTTTTTCAAAAATTCCTTATCAGTGATTGAGTGATGTTGCGGCTATTAATCACAGAGTCCACAACTGTTTTAGTGGTGAACAATAAATGTTATGCCTGATTCATTAGTACAAATTGATCATCAAAAACACCAGGAAAAAAGTTTGTCGATGCAACGGTGATGAAGCACATCGAGGTGACCTTGTTAAGATGCTCATTTTTGTACTTGACTAGTATGAAACAGAAACACTGAAAGATGTTCCATCTAGCATTAAAATCACTTAGCGTATAACCTGAACGGTATCCATGAGCAGTTGACAATTTTAGAGCAACGACCATCCACCATAAGAAAATTGAAGTGACAAGCTGGCGTGACGCCATTCTGAACAGTCAAATTAGGGAATGAAATCACAATTATGGTACGGCAGAATTGAACGAACGGTCAGTGGGCGAAGAATGTCGAACCAATCAAATTTAGATTATAAAGTGGAAATACATCTGATTATTTTTCTGAGCAGTCGGGATCAGTACACTTTTGTTTGCGGTGAGTTAATCCTTTCAGTATACTCGTTGAGACCTCGTTGAGCTTATGAAATTCGGCACTGAATTTTTCAAGAGCAGCAGTTAGCAGCGATGGCAGGAGCACACTTCATTTCACGTAAGCTTCACCATAGCTGCTTATCCAGTACAGTAAACACAGTGTGCAATAGGTCAATGACAAATGCAGAAATATACATTGATCAAT